ATTCCCCAGCCAGCATGGCTGGGGGATTTTGGGGGTTGAAGTCCACTCATCTTAAAGTGGCCAAGTTTGGACAACACTGGTATAGACGCATTTCATCATCTTTTCCAAGGCCTTCATGGCTGCTCTACTGTGTATTTCTCGACTGCTGATTCCTTTACTGCTGATGGCTGACCCTAAAAGGCAGAAACTCTCCACCACGTCGGTATCTTCACTGTCAATTCTAAGGCTAGCCGTTCTACCTGTTGTCATTATTTGGTCGTCTTTATATTTAATTTTAGTCCCATTATTTCACTGTGCTTTAGTTCTAGGATCCTTTGCATTTTCGGCTATCAGGGTCATGTCATCACCATAGCGCAGGTTATAGATGTTTGTTCCTCCCATTTTAAACCCATGTTCATCTTCCAATCCAGCTTCCCTTAATATATAGGTTGAAGAGAGTTAGGTGGCCCACAATCGCCCAGGAGCTTCCGTAATTTAAGGTAGATTTGAACCTGCTCCAAATCTGACAAATGAGCCACTATTTCACAAAGATTTTTTTTTTTAAAAAAAGCCTCTGTTTCTACAAAAACTATAGTAAGGCAGTTTTAGGGTAAAAAATAGCATAATATCTTATACCTTTGACTTGCTAATCTTGGGGTGCTCAGCCCCTCTTCCAGAGACTTTGAAGCAGGATCTGTCACTCCTTCCAGTTCTTCCAGATTCCCTGAACAGGACACTCACTGCACCCAGACTCTTCTGTGCCACTGCCATCCAACATGAGTTATACAGTCCAGGGTTTAAAATCAAGATAGATTTAAACACATGCAACGTGTAAATCCTCCACGCCAAGCACCTGTTTCTTATGACAGCTTCTCCTGCCACATGGTAGAACACGGTGAAACCGTTTCTCGTCCCTGCTCCCCTTTTTAAAAATTTGCTCAGGAGCACCAGAGAAATCACAGATGACAATGTTACTTGCTACAAAAATATTTTTCATCTCCTTTCTTACATAATCGGTTTTTCAGAAGGAGGGGGAGGACCAGATGGCAGATGATCCTGCATGTTGTTAAAGCACGTGTAAACCCTGGTTAAGTGGGAACTGGGTTCAACACATGTGGCACAATTAACGTGGGATTCAGCAAAAGTGGTTCCATCCTTCACGGTTATGTACTGACTGCATGGCTAGGAGGATTTCTGGTAAAAAAGCGCAAGATTTCTAATCTTTTCCTGGCTTAAACCTGAATCCTAAAAGCTAGCCAAGTTCTAAAAGATGCTCCGACTGGGAATAAGTTCCATTATCAGAAGACATCCAGGCGTACCGTTTTTCACCCTCTTGCTGGTCAGATGCTCAATGCATCCACAGATGTGAGAAGCAGGGATCCTGCAGAAGTTTGTCATGGGTACTGAAATGGAGGTGCCAATCTGTTTAAAATAAATCACACCAACCCCCAGGAAGGTGCAAGGAAAGAAGCAAACTGTAAATTATGCAAACCTCACCCAACAGCGTTAACTGAATTGACTCTGTTGCACAACACATCAATTCATAAACTCATCCTGCTAGCCGTGAAGCATAAACCATCCATCTTTTTTTTTTTTTTTTTTTTTTTAGGGCCTGCTCTGCAAATTCCAGAAGGACACTGTTAGGGATAAACAACCCTGGCCATCTTTACTTGCCTTGTAAAACCTGGATTTCATGTTGAGGGTTGCGGGAGAACTGTTCATCTGTAGTCTTGTATTATGTTATAGTATCCCAAGGCAGTAAAATATCAAGTGAAAGCAAGACGTTTTCATACGCAATC